GACTAATAATTTACACTCATATACCTCACTCTCATAGTCCGACCGGACAGCAATACGACTCGATCGAAGAGATAAGGCGCAATAACAAAGGTTTTACGTGCTTTCCGAGGCACAGGGTTGAAATACCGCTCATTCTTGACTCCAGACTGATACAAATAATTTCTTGACAGAAAACTAAATTACTGATTAAGGCCCGACTTCGGATACGAATCGGAGACCACATGACCAGTTGGCGCGCTAACGAGCACCAGACCAACGTTTCAGACATGGCTGGGCACAGGCTACCTTTCATTTCTAAAATGTTTTTAGACCGAGGAAGTGTCCTCCGCATTGCCTCAATGCGTGTTGGCGGACTTCGCGTCTTTGAAATATTTTTTTCATTACTCAGATATGCAGCTTTCCTCGCTGTATTTTCTGTCACCGCCTATCGCATCTGGTAAAACAGCATTTAAAATTGCAATTTACAATTTCAACGGTGCCGGCGGAAATCGAACTCGATTTTTTTTATGAAACGGGTGATATATTTTCTTATTCCGCAACCACACGGTACGGTATTGTCTACAAATAAATTTCCGATTTAACTGTTTAAAATTAAAAAAAAACAGTAATTCTTTAGCTACCGTATGGTAGCGGCTTAAAAGAATCCATTAATTTATATAGACGATATCGTCCCTTGAGCGGCGTAAAAGGTTTCAAAAAATCATGGTTTTCGAAAGATGACAGTAAACCGTAGCGTTTACGTCCGACGTAAAATACACAGAGCGATAAAAGGCAGCAGCGTCTAAAGTACGAGCCGTCTAGTGCTGCGATCGTCAGTCCGTTTGCCATGCGTTATTCTCTACGATCCAGCAGTAGACTTTTACTGGCTGATGATGGCGATGATGTTTTTCAACTAATATCAATATTATTTTAACATTGTTTTCAGGACCCCGAAACAATATTTCCCCTGTTCCGCATATCGTACCACTGGATCGCGCCATTGGGCTTGGTCGCGACACTTTCTGTCGGTGCGCTAGTCGGCTGGTTCTTCGATAACCAACGTGATATCAAAATGGACGCGGAACTGTTCACGCCAGCAGTATGGCGCTTTTTGCCGAGTGAAGCACATGAACACGCCGGTGAAACGAGGCGGAATCTAGTCAACAAGATAACGGAATCGCCAGCGCCGTCATCACCTCTCATTATAGGACAAGGTGTTGATAAGGTGAGCAAGCTTCATGTCATGACAAGAGTACATGGCTGTTACGTCACGGGTCTACACATACATTTCTGGTTTTCGGTTCTGGTGATGTCTTTTTTTATATAGGTAAGGTAAGGGTGACAAACAAGCAAACAGTCCACCTGATGGTTAGTAGTTGCTGTGACCCATAGACATCTGCATCTATCCTCAACTACAAATCAAAGTACAGGTGCGTTGTCACCCGTGAAGACTAAGATTGAATGCCTCGTTTCCAGTAAAAGGTGTATCCGGTTCTCCACACTCAGCATACGAAACACAGTTTACGTAATTATCTTTTGACATTTATCTTAATGGGACATTTTTATGTTATATTAATAAGCTAGAATTCATCAATAATTGTACAAACAATGTGTTACAACTATTTAGTCAAAATTTCCACGCATCGATTTATGTTTTAATAATACTTTTTTAATATTTACCTACATTCTATGTAAATAATTAATTATGAATCATGTATGAAACACCTATTTTACGCATGTATTCTGTGAGAGCGTGGTGCTACAACCATAGCTAGCTGCACCGTGGCGCTAACACGTAAAAACATTTTAATTACCTACCTACTAAAATAATAAAGTAATTTGAATTAATTAAAAAATGTTAGGTTATTTCCTCTTTTTACATAAATAACACTTTGTCCAGTAATGGGAGGTGTACAGGCTGTGGCTTTTTAAATAAATATGCCACCTTTATCTCTTTTGTTCCAGATTGAAATGAACGGTGAACCCAGCAGATGAAGTGACGGTTTACTTAAAATCTAAAATATACTCGGGTATTTTTTATGTACCAGTGTTGTAAAGAGGGATAAGGTCAGGTGGGGTAAGAGGAACATACTTCATTTTCAGTAAAATATTTTGAGCGCTAGGAAGAACAGCTAAAGCCTTTTAAGATCTTTGAAACACACAAAACTTGCCTTTATGTATTAGCTTCCCATGGGCTAAATGTCATTACGCCATTATTAGTTCTTACGACGATATTGAGGTAAATGTCAGGATTAAGTAAACGTTCCTCTTCCCCCTCACATGGGGTAAGAGGGACAGTCATTTTATTTCTTAAGTTTGGAGTTTGAATTAAAATATTCGTTGCTAAATGTTCGTTAATTTGTTGGTAGAACTGCTTAGGTCAAAATTTGATCTTACAATCGATTAAATAAGGTATCATTTGGAATGAAAAAGAAGAATAAATCAAAACGGGGTAAGAGGGACATACAGGTTCGATCAGGGGTGGCAAACTAAAAACAAGTCGACCAGTTATATTTCAATATTTATTTATTCATACAAACAGTAATAATAAACAGTCTCTCCCTAACCTAGTTAGTTACTCTTTAAAAATAGCAATGGCACTATGTAACGAGATCAATATTGTGAATCAGTCTTTTAATTCTTCTAAAAAAAAACCAAAATTATTATAAAAATAAACAACAAAACTATTAAAATTAAAATCAAAATTCAAAACTGTTATAAAATATGTGAAATTATTGTTGAAGCAAGGCACTTGAATCAATTAAATTGCCGTACAGAGCCTCATAAATATTTAAGAAAAATATATATGATCTTCTCCATCCAAAAGAAATTCTTTGGAATTTCTAGGGTTTTGAGACAGGTGAACTTTCTTGACTATAGAATATTCTAAAACGGTATCACGATCTACTTGTTTAGCGAGTTTAAATTTCAAAGGCTTTTTGTAAGTTTTGTAAAAGTTTATATTATAACTAGTATCGCTTCCAGAAAGTATATTTTCTATGTAACCTACATAATACACCCACTTTTTCCTGATAAAGTATCGAATCAAGACATTGTCATTTATTTTATAATTCTCTTTCTCTTCTATATTTTTCTTCACATGCCATTTCTCATTTCCTTCTTTTGCTGTTGTATTGTTGTTACTTTGATGCGATCTCTCACTAACTTCTTTTGCCGCCTGATTTCTCTCATTCGAACTATCACAAACTTTTTCAACAATATCGTTTCTCTCATCCGATATTCCACTGATTTCATGTATCACCTTGTTCCCCTCAGTAACCGCTTGGTCATTAAATGCACAATGCTCTTCCTTTTCCACTTCTGTCAGCCCATCCAATTCGCCATTAAATTCTCCTGCTACCATATTAGTTTCATCTGATTCCTCAGTCAAATTCACTGTCTCCTTGCTTTGCTTGTCCGGATTCTCACCAAATTTCTTCACCACATTGCTTTTCTTGTCTATGCTAAACATTTTATCTTCTTCTTCATTACAGGGTTCATAATTTTGTATAAATTCGTTGGTGTATAAATCTCTTGTTATATCATATTCTTCATCGGTCAAGTCTATAATATCAGAATCCTCATGCACGCTCATGCAATCAGATATGCTGGTAGATGAGGATGATGATATTTTTCTAAGTTTTTTATTTCGTCGAACTATTTTTTTTGTAGAATTTATGGTTTTACTCTTTTTTAACTCAATTTTAATTTTCCTCTTTTTGCTAAGACCTGATGGACCTGGTAATGACATATCCACTCGAGAAACCTGTATATCAGTCTGCTTATAATTACCCCCGTTCTCACACCTTTTCGCCTCGTTATTTTTTTCTGCTCCAGTCTTATTATTTGTGCTCGCTCTTTTTTCCGTTGATTTATTTTTTTCTTTACTTGTTTTCTTTTCTTCTTGCTTTTTCAACTTTTCTTTTTTTTCTGCTTCCATTTTTTGATATCTTTCGAACACATGATCATGAGTGATGACCTCTGCGCCTGTTGCTATTTTTGTTCTTTTGGTTGTCAAAGATGGTTTTCCAGGCTTAATCATTTTCAGAAGCAACTCTTCAAATGTGATATTGGTATATACACGCTGATTGTCAAGAATTTGGACTTTAGGACCCTGTTGAACATTTTCAATATTTTGCAATGGAACAGCTTTTTCTTCGCTGTGTAAAACGTAATTTGGTGACGCTTCTATTGAATCACACTGAGGAACTTCCTGCTGTATTATATATATTTCATTTACAACAGTCAGTGCGATTTCACTCAATTTTTTGGGGGATATTTGTTTAACAAGTTGATTTTGTGATTTTTCTAGCTGTTTCGCATTCTTCCATTCTGCTAACTGAACTGGGTCAAACTTGTGTTCAGCTATGACATATTTATTTATTGGGTATATCCCTGCTTTACGGAAGCCTGCTTTACATACTTCGGAATCTATCTGAGTCCACACTTGGCCAAGAATCGTTGAAAACTCTTTTTTGGGTAAAACCTTACCGACGTTCAGTCTTTGCCATTTGACCAACGCTATGTCCCATTTGTCTTTGAACGATTTATTCACCGCTAGATCCAGAGGCTGCAATAGATGACTCGTATGAGGTGGGATTTTTAAAATCGTTACGTTATTTTCTCGTGCCTTTTGTATTATATTAATTCCCACATGAGTGGAATGACCATCATAAAGCAAGAGAATAGGGCGTTTATTTTCAACGGTAGGCAAAAAAACTTTTTCGAAAAAATTTTCGAATACTGTCGCCTCCATCCAACCTTTTTCAGTCGCAGCATAAACGGTTCCAGGAAACCCATCTTGAGAAACCCATTCGTTCCAGATATTTTTTCCTGTGTATATAATTAGCGGCGGAGCTTTGTCACCAGCGGCATTGCATGCTAAAAGCACAGTTGTATTCGTTTTCCCTGGAGAGGCGATGGTTCTTGTAGACGTATAGCCTCGACGACCAACAACATTTGATTTATTCGGGTCCTTACTGAAGCTGGTCTCGTCGAGATTACAAATATGTGATGGTTTATCACGTAAGGCCCAGTTCATTAATAGTTTTCTCTAATAAATCAAAGTAACCGTAGATCACGGCAGGTCTGCATGCAGTTCTACGCGCGTGTTCAACGGCCTGAGGTTTTTTAACAGAAAGGCCATGTCTATTTTTAAAAGCAATAAACCAGTCCTCACCAGGGATTCCATCTTTAAACGGGGTTTTAATATTATTCTTAACCACGTATTGGCCAACCAATTCAATCACTTCCTTGCGCGTTAACCCAAACCCTGATTTTTCCATTACGTGGAGATTTTCCGCAAGCGTTTCTTCCACATCCCTGGGTAATGCAGTACACCTACCTAAAGTTTTGGATTTTAAACCTTTGCGGTCGTATACACGGTTGACAATTGTTGTTCTTGGGATATTATATTGTTTTGATGCGGTGTATGCAGATATCGTTCCATTTTTTACTGCATTGACAGCCTCAGTTAATTTATCATAATCATATCTGCTTCTATCAGATTTTCTTATATATTTTCGCGGCATGTTTTATCATATATCCTGCAACAGTCAAAAGTGCTATAATATAACAAAATATTAAAATTAAAAAGACAGGGACATATACAAAACGCATGAGACTTTAATTATCTAAACTAATATAATAAAAAGAAAAGGTTTGATTTACATCTATTTGTTATGATTTAGGTAAAACAAAAACTAGAAGACCGATTTGAAAATTCTTTAACACAGAATGCTGCATTATTCCTGGGTAACACAGGATATAAATTATACGATCAAACGACAATTTCCGGGAAAGTCCAGTTACACGCGAACGAAGTCGCGGGCAATTTCTAGTTTAGTTATAATTTAAAATTGTAGTAGGTACAGAACAGTCAGTCAATTCTTTACATTTTATCTACCTATAATTATAAATTTTTCAAAATGTGTGTTACCCCTGACATGGGGAAAGAGAAACATATGTCCCTCTTTCACCGGGAATAATGAGCCTCTTACCCCAGCTATTGTTTTTGGAGGTTGGGATTTTCAAGCGAAAGAAACTCATATTATTAATTGTTTTTAAACTAAAATGATTAATGAAAAGGAATACTTACAGTTTTTTCCGTGTATCATTACATTTAAAATATTTCCAGCACTCTTTTTTCACCAAACTATTGGTTCGCAAAAAAATTCGCAACTGTCAAACATGTCTTTATTTTTTGTGGCTTCTGAGTCACGTAGCGACATCTTATGAAAACCGTTCAAACTATTTCGTCTTAACTGTTTTATCGACGGAAAGTTCATAGTCATAAACACTTCGGTTTACTAGTTATGGTCCCTAGTCCCTCTTCCCCCGGTGTCCCTCTTACCCCACCTTACCTTATATTTTTATTATCTATCTATGAAATGAAGTAGATGTATAACTGTTTTAATACTATAGACAAATACGTATTCAATGCATTTGAATGCTAACAAAACTTAACAAAACATGTAAATGATTATTTGTACGCATGTTAGTGCATTTAACTTAAGTCCAAATTCAATGTTATGTTATGGGTAATAACTGAAAACCATAGCAATATTATATACGATTTTTATACAGGGTAACGACCTCTTACGTCGTGTTACCTATTGTCTGCTACCGCCCATATTAACCTGGGCATTAGAATTATTATTCTATTAGAGTCCTTCTGAGGAGTATACGGTACAGTATTGCTAAAAATTTTATTGGCACTTTACAGCCGCAATAAGATTTAATATAATGGAACGTAAATATAAGTCTTTCTTGATCTTATATAACATTACTTGGTAGTGGCATGGTACACGAATGAAATGTAAGATTATTAGACTGGTCGCTATTTGATAGCCCATATCACGAAAGCCGTTCACTTGCTGGAATTATAGGTCGCTGGTAAATATAGTATATATATATATATATATACCATAGTTACCATAGTTATATATATATATATATATATATATAGACCTTTAGACTCATAGAAAGAAAATACCTCGTCAAATCACAAATAAATATTTTCCTGTAATTAAGAAATTGTAGCAATAATTTTAACACGTAGGTGAATTATTGAAGACATTGTAAATATTATATTATATAATATGTCATTAATTTGCATTTTTCTTGTTTTTTGGTTGAATTGCTTTCATAATATACTTAATAGTTAAAATTATATATAATAGACACAAATTTTATTATAATTTAATTATTAATATAAAATAGACACAAATATTAAATCGAATTTTATGTAAATAAAGTTATATCGATATCATATTTATTTTAACTTTATTGTCACATTAGTATTTTTAGTTAGTCAATGTTAATGATATTGTTGTAGTAATATCGATTATGTTATTGGTTCGCGTGCTATTGTGATATTGAATTTAAAGTCGCAAAATATATTTTTTTAGTTCATAGACTAATAAGAAGTCATCGCGCGCTCTGATCTCGTCAGAGCGCGCGACGACTTATCATTAGTCTATGTTTCAGTTGTTCTTTTTTTTAATTACGAACGATTCTGACATGTAGCGATTATTATAATAAGATCGAAAAGATTTACTATAAAACTTTTTGTTTTATAGTTATTTTTAGATAATATACATTTTATTGCTGAATTTCCTGACGTTCGTGTTTTCTTATATGCCTATACTGAACATTGTTTTTAAAGGTATTTACGCACGTTGTATTAGGTACAATTAATACGTGGACCAAGTAGAATAAGTATTTGAAAAGGAGTTGTTGGTATTGAAAGTGAAAATTATGTATTAAAAATAAAGTCGATTTAAAAATGACAACCTATAAATTTTTTATCTTTATATGTATAATTCACCTGTACGTTTGTTTGCCACTGAACTCCTCCTAAACGGCTGGACCGATTTTGATGATTTGTTTTTTCGTTTAAGTTTGTACCCTTGGATGGTTTAGATTCATGATTGGACCCGGCAGGTGGCGTTGTTGTTGAGATGCGAAGCCGGGGCGGTTCGCTAGTATTATATATTTGTTTTTAGTACACAATTTTCATTAAGGAAAACGTAATAAAATTACATTAGTAAATGTAAATTAAAATTTAATATTGGAGGCTGATCTTATAGGAGAGGACAGATGGTGGAGGAATGGATCTAACTTAATCGCTGTATTGGAGCAGTGCTTCAAAGTACTAGGTACAACAGCTGTGTAATATAAGCACGGTTGAATTACACCGATTGCATATTTTGATCGTTCTTTATTTATATGGTACAAATAAGGCGTGTATTTAATTTAAAAAAATATTAATATCTTCTTTTTATAATAATGAAAAAAAAAACATCAATTTGTTACAAGTTCTAAACTTCCTTTATGTTTTAATAATTTTTTCAGCCACTCCACGTCATGATTATGAAACCACGTTTAATCAAATAAAGTAGAATTATGTGTTCGCAAAATCATAGCAAGTTATTATATCATATTATTATGTTTTATCACATATGATTCGACTGCAGACATACAGCAATAATATTGAATGTATTTATGAAACCGAATATCACGTTTGTGGATAGATATAACAATATTAATTAATCATCGATCTTCAAGTTCACGCTTCAATAACAATTTGATGGAAGATCATGGACAGGAAAACTGGCAGAGATAGGTGTGGCAACTAATTTACTTACACTTCATAGAAAATGTTGCTTAGTGTATGAAATTGATCGACTACACTACACTACGCAAAACAATATTATTTAAATGTTTAAATGCGAACTGTCTCAGAATACTTATAAGTATAGCTTGCTTATAAATACTTTAAGGTAATTGTTTTAATTTAAAGCATGATGTTAAAATTGTTCAGTAGTTATCATTCGAATATTAGATCAGGTTATGATATTTATTACATACGCGTAAAAGCATATAGAACTCTTAAACATGTTATCGTGTATTATGTTATCATAAATATTTTATTTCTATATATAAAAATCAATTGCTGTCCGTTCGTCTTGCAAAAACTCAATATATACTCAATAATGGGTGGTCCGATTTTGATGAAATTTTTTGTGTGTGTTTGAGTGGGTATGATCTACACGATTCACAATTGGACCCGGTAGGTGGCTCCGTTGTCGAGATCCAGAAATCATCCGCGTGAAGTCGGGGCGGATCGCTAGTTAATATAATTATTGACTTTTAAGAATTAGCACAATTTTAATAGCATTGCTACCTATTCATTCATTACGTAGAGATACTTACGTTCTTACTTGTAAAAATCGACGCGAATTAAAGAAATGCTTAAAGTTGCTTTCTCTCATTTTACTATATAACAATAGAAAGAGACAGGTGAAAATATAGCGATAATCAACGATTATAAGTTAGACCGTTACTAGATATTAATGTTTTCTTGCCAAAATACTGTTGGTCTTAAAACAAAAAGTGGTTTATAGATTGTCTAGGGCTTAAATAAAAAGCAAAAGTCCCTTAGCCGCGGCATCACAGACTGCAAAATTTGAAATTTGCTGTCAAATTGCATACTTTATATTTTAGTTCGTATATCATTCGCGGGACTTCTTTCTTAAAACAGACTCTTGTTGAAAACCTGTGATTAATTATAAACCACTTTATGTAATAAGACGGTGTGTGTGTAAGATATTAAAATATATTTTTAGATTAACTAATCAAGCAAATTTCGTGTCAGGTATAATTGAAGACCAAATTAATGTGACATTATTTGACTTAACAAGATTCATAGGTATTTATGCATCAAGCATCAAGTGCTAATTCATTTTGTAATGTGACCTCTATTAACAGTCATATTTAGCTGGTTCTAGGTTAAAATACGTGATAGGTCTAATGCCTGTGGGTCCGTATGTTTTGGCAGCACCCACGTGCCTATTTCTGGCCCCAAACAGCAGTATACACACTGCTGTGTTTCGTTTTGGAGGTAAGGGGTTAAGTTATGTGTACAGGCTGTGAGGCATTCCGCCTTTGTATTCGGGTGTCATCCTATCTGGTCTTCTTTGAAGTTATATCTAAGGGTCGCAGCCACTTATATCAGGAGGAATGAAGCTCGTTTTCTATTTATTTAAAAAAAAACATATTCAATTAAGGCTGGCACAAATGGCAATTACAAATAAATAGGCTAATATTATTCAATTATGTATTTCTCCATTTTATTTTGTTGTAACAGTTGCCAGTATTTATCAGTACTTAATATTTTTCTTGATGTGAAATACCATTCATATTTTAGAAATAAGTTCTTGAACGTTTAAATAAATATATTCTAATAGAAAACCTATTTTATTTTGGACACGTACCATGTTCATTTAATTTCCTTTTATGTTATTCCTTGAAAATTAAAGTTGTTTCCAGTAAAACTTTTTCTGTTTTCTATGAGTAAAACATTAAAATTTAAAACATTTATATGTAAAAATGGATTGTGTCTCTCTCTTGCTGCGATGGTGTCATTAAATAAATTGGCAAAGCGACAAGGCTTCCGAACGAAGGTAAAGAAGAGGCCGTGAAGTGGGGATGTAGAAAAGACGTCGCCCTATTTCGTTTTTTGTTATAA